TATATAATATTTCAGAAATTTTGTGAAAGAATTAAATTATAATTATTCGATCTATCAAAGAAAAAAATCGTATCTCTATCGTTCATTATTTGCATTTTGCTCATTCAATAACAGAAGTTTTAATTTTGCCGAATTTTTTTTAATATTTTCATAATTTCGAAATTCAAAAAAATTATATAAATTAATAATTTACCGAAAATATAAATAAGAGAATAAGAGTCGTTATTAATAATATCATATATTAAAAGAATATGAGAAATTATTCATAATTAAAAAAATACGAAGAATCATCATAATAGAATCAATTATCTCAATATATCTTAAGATCATTTAAATTTCTGGAAATATTATTCATTCTTATTTTTACATAACTTCACTAATCATTAAACCCCAATAACAAAAAATTTCCTCGAATAAATATAATCGGACCGTCAAATCCAAAAAACGACACAAAAACAGAGTTCGGACGCATTTTAATACGTGCTTGTAACGATCAAACCGGAGGTGAAAAATTAAGACGATAGAATATGTGCTTTAAATCCAATAAAATAGTGGTTATCCATATTTCTTGCTCTCACAACTAAAATAACTCCCGCTTACCAAAAGCAAACACAGAGACTAACGTCTAGATGCAAAGAGACGTATATCGACACCTGCATTCAGATAGAACGACACCGGACCTCGTACTACCAAGATCCTAACGCGGTTCCTGTTAAAAGTACCTTGCGTGTCTATCTCGCGGCACTAAAAAATTTCGGCATTGAAATCTTAATGCGCTTCCTCTTGCAAGCCTCTTACATGTTCGATTTCCCACAGCTATCAAAAATTCGAAATTTAGTATCGAGAAAAACGTGCTCCCAATACTAACATTTCCGAAATTTTAGTACCGCTAGAGAAATATGCGAGTAGCTATCAAAAAAACACACCAAAGGCCCCAGAGTCGCACCAAAAAAAGGAAGCGAAAAACACGACCACATTTCATTAGAGAATACACTTTCAAAATAGTAATTTAATAGAAAAATATAACAGCTATAATTTTCTATAGAGAGAGAGAGAGAACATTTAAAATAACTTTTAGATTATGATAAAAATCTTTTAAATATTGATTATGCCATGCGTAATTATGACAATAAAATGACGAGGACTTGCCATGGATGCCAGCAAAATTAGAGCCCACAGCCGAGCGTTCCAAGAAGCCGAAAACGAACGAACAAAATGAACAGGTGGAAACTCACACCTGAGGAAACAAATTCAAACCAGGTAGGTCGGTGAAACAAATGCTCGTTCGCGGTTAGAAGAAACTCAATTCCTATGCGTGGGGGTGGGGAGCCTTCCAGAATTAGCGCATTCAGAGCGTGTGATTTTGGGAGCTCCCTGCCCGCCAACCCCACGCAAAGTTTGATTTGACACCGGATTTCGCTCGACCGCAAGCCCTAGAAGCTCCCCCCGTCCTCAAAACACAGCAACTTTCTCTCGAGTTGAGCCCCTTCTCCCGCTCCCCTAATATCCGCCTTCCCCTCCCTCCCTCGTCTCGCTCCCTCCTTCCAAGAAGATTCGTAGCGCTGCAGGTTGCAAAACTGTCAAAGACTTGAGGATGCTCTGCAGGCTTATCACAGACTCGAATTTGCAGGTCGGATTCCTAGTCTGCAAAAGCTGTTTTGTGCTATTTCCGCTTTCCAATTCAGGTTCAGCATGTGTTGACCTCCTGCATGCCGACTTGGGTGACGATGCCGAGTAAGCTTCCAAGCCAAATTCCGAAGACTAACGACAAAGACCTGAGTTAACTCATTGAGTGGACGAGAGCATACGAAGCATACGCCATGATTGCACCATGATGGCTCTGCTGCTGAGGAGCATCATTGTACCCACGGGCTCTCGTTCATCAGCAGAAACGCCGCGTTGCGCTGGACCAAGCATCATGGACAACGTGGACACCTCAGCGAAGGAGCGGGCGCTTGGCCCTGCGCCAGGCGATCGAAGTCTCCCCTTCCTCTCTTGTGCCTTCGGTGTGCGATTGGCCGAGGCCCCGACATAGCCGTTGGAAAAGGCAAAAGCAACCTTGCAGGATCGGAAGGCTCAGAGGCATAGGCTAACCCTGGAAATGCTGTCTGTGCTGGCGAGCTGCCATCACCAGAACCTGCAAGACACCATTGTGGGCCCAAGTCTGCTCGCTTTGGCGCTGCATGGCGATGAAGAGTGGCACAAAAAAGATTCGCAGAGCGGCCAGTGCGGAGACCACGGACCCTTCATCCATGCGCAGCACCTAAACGCAGCAAATGCTCTGCTCGCCGCTGCAGCCCCTTGCTTGACGACTTCTGACTTCTGTGCCTTACTTTCCTGCCTGCGGCCGCCTCTGCTCCTTGCCATGGCACCGAGCATTTCGGAGCGAAGCGGCCAAGGAAGTCCATGATCTGAAAAAGCGAAATGAGCAGCGGCACGCGGCTGCCAGGCGAAAGCCGAGATGTGACGCCTCGAACTGAAGCAGGCACTAGCAATCTGATCTTTTCGAAACACTCCCGTTCCAGAAAGCAAGAGTAGATCTTTCCATCCCGCAGCAGGTGCCTGGGAAGACGGTGAAGCTGACACCGAACACGGCAGCCACTGTCACGGCCTCTCGTTTGTCGGTGGTTGTTGTGCAGCAAATGCAGGCCCATGGCCCAACTTCAGCAGTGTATCTAACCCGGATGCTCCTGTGGCCAGGCGTTCTGGACAAGGATCTCGCGTGAGGAGCGTGCGCGGGTCAGCACTGGGCTGCTAGACGGTGTCACCTCCGAGAAACTGCGAAACAATCCGAGCGCGGCAGGACTCGCCACTCGTGGCCTGGTTCTCCATCGTCGCGGGCTTCAAGGCTCCAGCTTCCTGCACAATCCTGGGCTCTACTTGTTGGAAGCGCGTGCGCGAATCAGCCACGCAAGAGGTCAAGGTACGGATTTCGAGTCATAGCATAGAGGACGGGGATGCCCAGCAGCTCGAAGACCGCGGCGAAGGTGAAGCTGAAAATCAGGCCAAGCCTTGAGGAGCTGAATGAGGCACCAACAATGCTTGAGAACCTGCAGCACGAGCGAGGCGAGGGAGGGCGAACTAGGCTACTCCCTTCACAGTAATTTCTTTCCGCCGAGAGGCACCCCACTCAGGCCCTGTCCGAACATGACGGCCTGGGCATATGATGGGGCGAGGCATCCGGCCAGGCCGAATGCGCAGGCCTGCCAGATCCCGGAAGCCGCGCCTGTGAGCCTCAGAGCGCGCTCCTGCTGCTCCGCCGTACCCCTTAGAAGCCTTCGCCCTTTCCCGACTCGAGCGAGCGGCGAAACACAAGCCACCGCCAAGGCAAAACCTAAGTGCATGAGGGTTCGGCCAAGCGAGCGAGTTGGTAAACTGTGACTGTTGTCAGTTGTATGTGCTCCCTTGGATAACTAGGCAAGGGGCCCATCTCCAGATTGTCCGGGGTGGTGTAGAGATGGCAAAGCAAGAGGCCGATCAGTGACAGGGCAGAGCACACGGCGGCGACGTTCCAGCGCAGGGCGAAAGGGATCCGAGAGACCACGGTGCGACTTGTAAGCACCAGCTGGGTAATGTTCACAGTTAGCGAGTATCCCATCGAACACCAGAATGCCCATCCAGCTCCTGCAAAGCGCTTGCCGCGGAAAAGGGTGCAGTCGAAGCTGTGTGTGAAGCTCCTCGGTCATCCGGGCCCCAGAAACTGAATGACCACACCATGCCGGAAGAAGTGCAGTATTCATGAATCAAGGCTAAGTTTTGACCGTTATGAGATGCTTCCGAGAATCAATATGATTTGCCACCCAAGGAGTGTCGCGAAGCCTGCAATGTAGAAACAAGCCTGCAGCCATCGAGACTGAGCAGACCTGGCGGGGTTTAGTTCTTCGCCCATGGGGTCGATGCTGCCAATCGACCATACCTCGGAGGCCTCCATGGCAGCAGCTGGCGGAGTAGATAACTACTGACCCGAAACCGGAACATTCAGTAAACCATGACTGACAGCATCTCACAAATGATCCTATCTCACACCTGAGCCAGTCAATGGGAGGGTCGTCGGGCCGGCATCGCATGTTGAAGTGCGGCTGCACTGTATCAAGTTGATCAAGAATCTGTGCTACCCAGACCGGCACAGCAGTATCCAGGGGACGGCTGCCGGGGATCACGACACCCCTCCCTCGGTTTCTGTTCTATGGATTCTATGGGGGAGGAGGGGAGGGCGCGCTCTATGAAGGTAAGTCGAGTATAGTAATCTGTTGTAGCATCTTATAGCGAATTATAGTACATTATTTACTGGAAAACTTGAGCTTCTGGGATGCGCTCCTTTCGTGCACGCATGTCCGGCGTATCCATCCAAACTCTTCTCACGCGTGGTAGCTGTTTCGGTAAAAGCAAATGTCATTAAGCGGCCAACAGCATGTTTGTCTTTTTCCGCAGTGAACAGTGAACATGACATTGAGAGTTGTGGAGACGAAGGCAGAGATCAAGTGCGGTCCAAAATTCACCTTTTCATATCTCGTCCGTTAAGTTAATTAATCAACTTTCTCCCCGCCCGGCCATTCTATGTACAAACTACGCATGCCCAAAAATCACCTTTAAGCTTCTTGCACTTGTCGTGCTTTGTAGAAAGCTCTTCGAGGCCTGAGTTTTGGTCTTAAATCGTCTGCATGCCATGTACCGGCCCTCAGCACGGCAAAAATGCTTCTTCGCAGCTTGCCGCGGCTGGAACTGCTCTGCATCGAGTCTGAGGTGGCTCCATCCAAACCACGATCACGACGACACCAAATCCGCGCCTGCCATTCTCATGGGTCTTGCTTGATGGGTACTCGTCACGGCCCATAACAGCACCGAGCCTGAGCGTGCTCCGACAGCAAGGGGCTGTCGCCTTCGACTTCCGTGGTTTCATCGAAGTCTTCTGCTGTTGCCTGTTCCGCCTTGTGACTAACCTTGGGCATTCGTCTGTGGACTGTGAGCTGTGTGGAATTCTCAAGAAGCAGCATCTTGGCACATTCTTGGGACGATGCCACTGGTCGCAAACTTGGTCGCCAAGAGGCCTCAAAGAAGCTCCAAGACCGCCAAAGGATGCATCCCCTTCCTGCCCGCAGTGGCCTCTGCGGACTTGCCCCTGGACTCGTCCGGCCATTCTACTTGCTCCAGCTCAGGGCGGTCGCTCTGTGAGTGCTCGTGGGTGTATTCTGCAATGATGGGGCTTTCGAAGCCGTTCTGTACGGCTGCGTCTGCCACCGGGCTTTCCGATGCGATCGCAGTCGGATCAACCTTGTGAGGGCTAGTCGTCGTGCAGCTTTGCTCGTGCGGACATTGGCCTTGTGCCGCCGCCGACGCATCATATGTGTCGCTTGCTGTTTCTGAGTCTGTCTCCAGGCACTTCTCTTCGAGAACAGCCGTCGTATTGACCACGTCTGCTTTGCGACTTTCCCTTTCAAAGGGCGAAGCCTTGCAAAGCAGTGGATCTCAGCTACGGAGGGACAGCAAATCTGGGCAACCTGCACACGGAGCTCAGCACATGGCAGGCTCGTACTCCTGCTGGACGCTAGCGCCGAGATCGATCTGGAAGCCTGCGACAGCAAGCTGAGAAGGCACACACTCGAAATGCAGAACAGGTCGTCACATGAGTACTACTCACTCGACTTGCTCGAAGCCAGTGTCAACTGGGGAGGGAGGAGTCTGTGAGGGTCAGTCCTGGGGATTGATGTCGCAACCTGTCCTTTAACATGAAGACTAGGGTTCGGGATTCGGGTCCTTGGCGCAAGCGGGCTTTACAAGCAGGCACGCACCGGTCTGTCATGGGCAATGTCCTGCCTGAAGTGGATGACTGGTCCCTGTCGAGAGCATCATCTGCTTCACCCTGCCAGTTCCGGTCGAACCAACACACTCGACATGGGCACACCACGTGCAAGGAGAGGCCTCCAAATCCTGCTCAGACTGTGGCTCCTCTGCATTGCAGCTGCCCTGCCCCTGCGCGTTACATGTGAAAGGCTTGATTCGTGGGCTGTGATTCACCCGCTTCCCCTACCACGGAACCACAACCTTAGCGTGCCTTTGATCCCCCTTTCTGGCACTGGCGAGGGGCCGGGCCGGCCTCCACTTGGCACTCTGGGGGGCTCGAAGAGCTCCGGGCTGGGCTCACCGCAAGCCTGCCGGCATCTCTTCACAGACGGAAGTTGTTGAACTGCGGATCGTATGATCTCGACAGGATGATGCACGCTAAGAGCTCTACACTTGCTGTGCTGGCGGTCCGCTTGGGTCGGGGCTCTTCCGTCAGGGGACCATCATCGACAGCTTCTAGGGCTACAGTGGTGTCCTTCAGCGTGCATGGTTTCGCAAGACTTGACCTCCAGAAGTTCTTGCTGCGATCTCTTTGGCCACGGGGCAGTCAAGATGCAAGGAGTAGACTCTTGAGCATCCACATCTTCGCAGGTGTGCGTAGGCGGTCCGAGCCTGTGCCGTGCAGCAGTCAGAAGCGGCCATGTCTTAAAGACGAATGACGATCACAGCCGAGGGCCCGGCCCTGACTCTTGCTCCTGCACCAGCGCGCCTCAAATCTCATGGTCAACAAGGACCGGTCAAGAAGCAGCTAGGAAAGCAGATGCAGGCATGACAGAGAATGAGGAAGAGAATCAGGACTGAACGCCGATTCACATGGCCTGGCACAGCTTTCGTCAAACTGGAAGTCGCTGGGCTTGCATCCTTTGACAAGGCGAGGCTCAAGCAGAGTAGGGATGCAGCGCACGGACGAAGCCTCACTTTCAAAAGAAGCTTCCAGCTTGGAGTCCGTCTCCTGGAATCCTGATTGGCAGCATGCGTCCCTTGCCGTGCTCTCTCCATGTTAATGGAAACAGGAGCTGTTCCGTGAGCTGGGGCGACGCTCGGCATGTCTGATCGGCCTATCCTTCAGCACGCTGTAGATTTTGCAGAAGCGCAGCTGCAGCCTGTCACTTGTGCTCAAGTCATCTCAAGTCTCAAGCCTGGTGGGCACGAAACTGCTGAATTCGACAAAAGCTTCCACGGCATCGCTGAGACCACCCCGGCCTTCAGTGGCTTCTGGACAGCATCCCTCCAGCGAGAAGACGATCCAACAGCCTGAGCCGGGAATGGCGACCCTGGCGCTTGTGCTCAAAAGCTTCTGGCCAAGGGCAAAGCTTCTGTTTCATCGGCTTCGCTATTGCCGATACTGCCAAGGACCGCTTTGACACAAAGCACTGATCGGCAAGACCTCACTCAACCAATCTGAGTCCGGGGGGCATGAAAGAGTCTGAACATGTCTGAACAAAAGGAACTGTCTGAGGGCACGGCGGGCTTGAAGGGCTAGCAGCACAAGCGAGCAGGAAAAGTTGTCGCCAGGCCTTATTCTGTTGCATCCCTGAATTCCTGCCAACACCGGATGAGTTCAACTCCCGCAGCTGCAGCTAAGTAGTTAAGGTGTTATCAAGGAACAGGAAACTTGCGAGATGGAGCCTGCCGTTTGTAACAGGACTTTGTCTTGCACAATCAGCTCATCATCGCCATCCGAAGACATCATTGGGTGATAGTTGCTCACTTGATTCTCTCCAACATCAATGGCAGTGCTCCGTTCCAAATGTACATCGCACCCCTCCCTCGCGAAAGGAGGTAACCAGCCGTGACCCCGTAGCCACATCGCTTCAAGTACTGGGTGCTTCCTTGACTGCTGGCAAATGCAGTGAGCTTCCGGCCCAGGCTGCGATCAGCAGTGCAAGCACGTCCACGGCCTGTCTCGCAAACCAGAATGTTTTGCCAGATCTGATTTTGTGCGTAGCTTCACGCCATGTCACCCCTCAAACGCGCCTGCAATGCGCAAGCCATGCAAACGCCGGACACTTTAAACTAAAGTGTTGCGCGTCTGTCGGGTGGGTTCTGAGTAACTAGAGTGTCCAGAGAGACTGCTTTGTCGAGCCTTGGAGTTCTTGAGTACAAGGACAGTCTGTTGTCTTGTTTCCGTTAGTTGAAGGCAAGGGCCTCCGATCCGCAGAAGCCATTCGTGCACACAGGCTTTGCAGGACAAGACACGTGCTCTGCTTGGGAGGCTCGTGCTGCCGCTGGCGGAAACCCCCATCCAGCAAGCTCCTTCAGAGTGTCCTGATCACTGGCCTGAAGTCATGTCATGTCATGTCTATGTCTATGTACAATCCTGTGCCGAAGCAGCGAGTACACTCGCTTGACCCTAAGCTGCTCCGTTTGCACAGCTTCCTGCCCGTCTTGGGCAGGAGGCATGGAACCGGAGCGCCAGCTTGGCGCTCCCGCAACTCTATTTGGGGTTCATTCAGCTGCTTGGTAGTGCCTGCGCCAGCAGCAAGCATTCTGATCTCCGATGGCCTGAGTCTCCGTGGATCCGGACTCTCCAGCAGCGCCTTCAGGGACAGTCCGACAGTACACTCTGCAGCTTTGCTTTCACAAGTCTTTGTTTTCTTGGCCTACGAGCTGCACTCTTGCGCCTCCTTTGCATCCACCAAATCCAAGTTGGTAAATTCCTGAGGTCAAACGACTGCTTACAGTTGGGGTTGCAGCTTAGACTGTAGGGCTCCAGCAACTTGGGCCGAATTCGCCTTGATCGCTCCAATCGTAGCTTGCTCGCTCCCCTGAAGGGTGCCAGAGAACCCTTCGACAAACGGCCTGCACGCTCTGCGTGTGGCAGCCTTGTCCAGTTCTTCCAGCAAGGTTGCTGGCTCGCTGCACATCAGCGCCCGGACCTGCTACAGCTTTGCACTGTCACCAGAGCTTTCTGCGCACGGCCTGTTATGGTCCTGCCTCCTTGAAGGTCTGCTCACTGTCCCTGCATGCAAAGATGTCTGCTTTTGAAATGCATGCCTGGACATTTCGGTTGCGTAAGATTAGTACTTGACAGGCAGGTTTTGGCGACTGCATACAATCAACAACGTCTTCTAGCAAAACCTGTGGTGCAGACTATGTCATGCCAGAGCCCAGTGGGCTTTCGCAGGGTTGTGGCTGTGGCAGTGCGCCTGAGTCGTATGCTTGAAGGATACTCAAATCGTTTGGGAACGAGGGCGTCAAAACGCGACTTCCGAAATCAAGCCACAGCCAGAGGGCGGCTCAAGCCGCGAGACCATGGCTTTACGCAATAGCTTTTAGAATCCCGGTCTCAAGCCTGAACCAAATTGAACAAATGCTTTCCCGAATCTAATGCTCTGATTCTCCTGCGGGACACTGACAGCTCATTCGTCAAAAGACGGGGCGTCACACCCGAAACCACAACCATTCGTGCTGCAAGCTTCCGGATCCCATGCGTGGCCGAATGTCAACTGACACATCTTGAATAGCGCCTGATGGTGCGCTTTTGCGTCCGCCATCTGCTGTAGAAGTGATGCAAGCCTCCGCAGATGACTTGCTTCCGGCAAGGCAGTTTGCGGTTCTGTGCATCACAGACTAAGACTATTTGAGTTTCATGCCGCCGCTGAAGATCAAGCACGTGGTCTCGGCAATCGGGATGGCCTGTAAGCCAAGGAAAATTTCATCAAAATTGACGTTTTATGCTAACAGTGGGCTGTTGGGTGTGCAGCGATAAAACATGATAAAACTATGCAAGTTGAAGTGTCAAAGAACGAGGCAGCAATCATTGGCAATTGGCAATCAAGCCAGCAATACCTCCTTGCCGATCTCGTCCAGAATGCTTGAGAAACTTCCAGCCGCAAGTTCATCCGTCACCATCTTGGTGATGTTGATGCACACAGCAGCGAGTGGAAAATGCTGCTGGTCGTCCTAAGTCCACTTCGTGAGTGTTTATCTTATCTGACACATAGAAACCGTACATGACTGGTATGACTTTACACACCGACTTGTGCTTGCACAGCTGAGCACAGCTTGTTGTTGCCCAAGACATCTTAGGACATGCGGTCCTGAGACAGCAGGTACGCGGCTTTGAAGATCTCAAAGAAGTGCGAAAAGCAGAAGAACATGTGAAGGACCTCAAGGCATCTCAAGGCTATGCATCTAAGGCTAGGGACCGGAAAACACCCGGGGACCTGGCATTCAGCAAACCACCGGAACGGTTCAGGTCAGTGTGTGGATCAGTGCCTTGAAACCCCAGGACCTGGAACGCCCGTTGCCGAAAAATGAGTGGATCAGCAGCACTTCGGCTTCGGCTGTCTCACAGCCTCCCAATGGCTGCCGATTCGCGGACAAACCTCGAGCAGCCGTCCCTTTCCGGCACAGTCCCCCAGTCCAAAGCTTCGCGGCAAAGTTCTGCCTTGCAGCGTGCGAGCTTGCTGTACATCGTGTGCAGCAAGCGATAGTGCAGTATGTCATTGAAGTCGAACCTCGCCACTTCAACTGTACGCCTGCTTGAGCCCGCTTCCACACACTTAGCGGTTGCTGAGTTATGTGCGGCATCGTCTTCAGACGTAAGACGAACTCCTGACAGCTCCAGTTCCCAAAGAGCAGTCGATGGCTCAGAAGTCTCCTCAGGTCGTCTCTCGGGCTTTTCAGTGGTAGCAACCTGTCCCGGAACTGTGCCCTTGTCCAGACTCAGCTTCCAATTCAGCACCGCCTCTGTGGAAGTTGAAAGATCGTGAAGCCACGATTGCACCTGCCCCCATGCAAAATCACTCCAAGACCTTTCATCAACATGACTTGCCTCTTTGTAGCAGATCGGCTTCCTGAGGGCCTGCAAAGCATGGAGCTTCGATCTCACCAAGCCCCGGCCCAAGGTGTCCAAGGAAGCCGCATCCTGCTGTGCCACGGCCTTGCCACGGCTTTCCCTGGCCTGGCAGGCTTCTGCAGTTTTTGCTCTTCGCAGAAAACTCCGGGTCTACCTCTTTGGCAAGCTCATCGCTGCGGAAGGCAATCTCTTCCCATTCCTTCTCAATTTCCGCATCAGCTGCCTCTTGACCTCTGGCGGTTCGATATGCAAAGCCATCTGTTCTCAAGGTGCAGACTTTAGCATCGTTCGCAGGAGCGAACCTGAAGGCTCCGCGCTGGAAATCTTCATGTCAAGCTCTGCTTGGCCATCCTTGTGAAGCTCTGCATTGCCAAACATGTTTAAAAGAAATATCAAAGGAACACCTCCGAACACGCCACCGGGGCCGGTGCAATATCTTTATTGGAGCCGCATGTTGATACGTTTGCAGTTTCCACTGCCTTGGCACGGAACAGACACTCCAACACCGAACCGGCTGACGTTTCAATATGAGCTTGTGACATGGACGCCAGTCTTGCCGCTTGCATCGTGTGACTCTTCACACTGCTTGCGCCGAACCTTCCCGCTCCAGTTCCAGTCACACCACTACTGCCTGCTGGGCTTCAAAGCCACCAGCCTTCGTTTCAAGGTCGGTGCCAACCATAATACGCCCACGCCTCAGACATCTGCCGGCCCTTGCCTATCACATGACTGTCGATCAAGCCTTTGCATCCTGTGCTCGCGCAACCACCTAGATGCTCCGTCCAAGACAAAAACCTGTATCTGTTGTTTGCCTGGCCTGCATCACAGAGGGCTGTCTAATCAAATCTGCCGAGCTCAACCTGTTACAATCTAATCTCAAGTCGGCGCGGTGATGCTCTCGCACATCATCCGACTTGGGTAGCTTTCACATCCAGGATACCTCCAGTAAGGTGAAGTTTTCTGCTGGTCCGTGTCAGGCCCTCAAGCCCTCGCAGGCCCTCGGCATCTGAGCTCGTGCTCTGGATATGCCATTCCCGTGCATCCAACTCGACTCACGTGGACTCTTAAGGCTTGTTGCTGCGTGGAACATTTTTGGATGTGTGAGGCTGCGGCTCCACGATCTGGAGCTTGCGTAGGGTTGCGGCTTCGGTAGATTGGTTTCGCGCTGGAGGTCTTGACAGAGTCTCTTGGTTATCGGACCAGCCACGACACCAGCCTCCCGTCAACATACACTCTCCTACTTTTCGGGCTATAGCCATATTTAGCTTCCCGGCCAGAGCTCATTTCATGGCAAAGGGTCTCCCGCCCAGAGCTCCAGTCACGGCACAGGGTTGCAGGAGATCACGGCTTAGGCTTGTCGGCACTGGAAGATAAATTTCAGCCACCAGCCCGATTAAGCTCAGGTCTCCAGCTTTATTTGAAGATTGTTCACTCGTCCTTACTCGCGCTTACCGCCCGATACCGCCCGCTTTTTTCCAGATTTTTAAAAAGTTGAGCGGAAGGCGAAGATTCGAGGTTGAGTGGCGAGTAAGAGCCGTTTGTTGCATTGCGGCATGAGGTATGCGGGTGGTAAACTGAGCCAATGCTCTACAGCCATCCATGCTAGCCTGCTGTGCCATGCAGATGTGGCAGTTGTTACTGGGGACGGAGCATGGGAGAGTTGGTCGCTCCACTTGCGGCGTCCGATACCTGAGCAAAAGCTGGGGCTTTGCACCTCACTCTTGCACTGCGAATTACGCAAGCGGCAGGCCTTGGACAACTTACCTGCGCACCTGGCAGCGGCACACATCGTTAGATGGCTAACGGACAAAACAAAAGAACGAACACACACCCATACACACACGTACTCTCTATATGCTGCAGGACTACTACAAGATGGTTGGTATCCTTCGAGTCTGAGTCTGGGCATACACGGGATCTACATCCCGATCATGTCCATGATGATGTGCCTGGCTGTGGTCGGCGTCCTCTGATGTGGGTCCTTGCAAGATCTTGTTTTTCGCTCGTCTGCAGAAAAGGGTGACTTTGCATCGGCTAGGAGGATTCGCAGTCAGCAGTGCCTCTGTTTACATGCTCTGGCGCGCTTCTCTGGACTTCTTGTCCACAGCAGTGAAGTATCTTGTGCTTCAGACGCTCGAAAGCACTTTTATCCGGAAGTGGAGTGAAAAAGTCGCCCCAAAACATGGCTCGACTCCCAGCACTACCTGTTTCATCATCAGTGAACGAGCCAGACATGTTGATCGGTTTCGCTGCACTTCGTACCGTCATGGCCGCAGAGAAGTCAATCCGCAGCGGCTTCCCACCAGAAGACTTCAAGACCCAGCGCTTGCTTAGCACTGCAGGCATTGTGTCTTCCGAGGACATTATGGATTTCGACTGCTCTCGCCCAGCTGCTTTCGCAACCACTCCAGGGTCAATCGACAACTGCAGAAAGGCTCGGTTAAGCTCGTCTTCACCTGGCGGTGCTGCGGCATCCCGAGGCTCTGAGATTCTTTCTGCCACAAGCACCTCCTTGTCGTTTCGCTGTGCCTTTCGAGCAATGACTTGTTGCGAGGTGTCCGTGGGAGTCCTTGCGCTTTCTTCCTTATTTGCTCTAGCTGATGCGGCGGCGGTCTTGGTCTCAGCCTGTGGACCGTCCCGCATCTTTCTTATTGCATCATCTGTAGACTCCATCCGCTTTTGCCGCTGGATTTCACGCCAGGCTTCCCACTCCTTAAAGCTAGGCGGCGGGCGAGTCAAACAACGTGAAATCTGGTGGGTCTCATCATTCGGCTGTTTCTTGGATTGCTTCTCCAAGTTTTTCAAGTCCACAACATCTGCCAAGGAATTTGGCTCGCTTGAATTGCAAGAGCGTCTGGGAGTTTGGGTGGTGATGACAATGTTCCCGGTACCGTCATCATTCATGTCCACTGCTACCTTCTGGAGCTGACCGCCGTTCTCTTTAACTCCACGCGGTACGCTTATTCGAGATTCCCCGAAGTCTAAGACTGCCTCATGCTCCTGAGGCGCTCGCCTCATCACAGCCTCACCTCTCACGCGATGCAGCATGATGAGTCTGTCATCTTCGGGCCGTAGAATGGCTTTCTGATCGCGTGCTTCCAAGGCTTCCCGGTCTTCGTCCTCGCTGTCCGAACTGGAGATGTCCTCCAAGGCAGCCTCTGTGGAGAAGAGGGATGGCAGGCCCTGCTTTTTCATAGCCGCATCTTGGTAACCACAGAAGAACATCCCCTTCTCGCGCATGGCATGGAAGTCGCTTTGCCCAGCAGAATCATCAATCCCGCAGACCTGCTTGATGCCCTGCATGGACCAATGTCGACTCAGTGCCGCCATAGCTCCGGGTGGAAGGGTCCCTCGTAGCTCATCTTCGCTTGTATCTGCAAGGGTTTGGAGCAACTTGGCGCTCACAACGTTGTGGTCTTTAGAGCTTGTGACTACTTCTCTGAGAGAAGCTGTCACCATGTGTCCCACGCTTGCAATGGAGGCTTTTGAGATCGTTGGCTTCAAGTTGGAGTCCCCGACAGCCGATTTCGAGCGGTCGTACTGACGAGCGATGTTCAGCAGGTTTTCTGCCGAACTCTGCCCAGAATTGCGTCTGTGTCGCAGCTCCCGCTTCGCATCCGGGCTATATTTCGTCCGAATGGGGCTGTCCTTCAATGCCTTCTGCCGACCTCGATTGTCGTCCTTTCCGTCCGTCTGGGATGTATCATCTGCAGTTTCTGAGACCTCGTCGACAACCTCAACCTGAACCTGCTGCGCGTCTGCTATGCGCACACGCGGCGCAGACTCCGTGGAAGGAGATGCTTCTCCCGCATCTGCAATCGGCCTGCCATCTTCTGGCTGCACGCCTGCAGGCGGTTTCTGTCCAAACACAGTGAACCGTCCCTTTGCCGCTGGATCACTGGAATGCTTACCGTTTGTCTCCATGACGGTAGGCTGTCTTTTTATCCTGCATAGCTCATTCGACAAAGTCGCGTTTCTGTGAGCCCATGCGCCAACTCATTTCGAGCAGCCCGAGCAGGCACTGGCGCAGCGACATCAATGGTACCGAAGCAACGCCAAGTCTTGTCAGTAGCTACATCATGCACTGGGCAACGAGATACAGCGATTTTACTGTGCTGAGGGACTGCGATGTGGTTTCGGTTGGTTTGGCTGAGCCGGAAAGCCAGATAAACACGGGTGCAGGCGGAACTTGGCTTGACAACGGAACGTGGAACTGTGCTTGTACATGCAAGTGATTGGAAACGTTGACAGCCTCAGGGCCATTGATGTCGATGTCTAGTTCCACAACATCCGCGGCCACCTTCCCGAAACCAAGAAGTCAAAGGGCTCTTATTTGAGGCCTCCGTGCCACTAATCTGCACAAGCTTTGCCCGTTCGCCTTAGGCTTGGAGTTCGCAGCCTGGCTGGGCCTTGCCATAGCTGTGACACACTCGTCACGCTCTTGCATTCTGGAGGGGCATGCTGATACTTCTGCAGCCGAGGCGCATGGAAACCTCTTGCATCTCCACTTCCTCCTCGGATGTCTCCGATGTCTCCTCTTCCGAGTCGTCCTAGCGAAATCAGAGAGTCAGGCACTTGTCCGCTGAAACGCAGCTTCTGCAGACATACAAATCCTTTTCTGCAAGAGCCTGATGCGCCCCCTGCTTCGAGTACCAGAGGGATGGCAACGTGCACCATTGCCCCAGCGAAATCGTCCACACTGCAGCAAGCAGAATAGGCACTTAGGCACTTAGGCCTTGCAGCACGCTCATCGGACAAAGCGATTGTGGGCTCGCTCATCTGCAATAGTGGTATCTGGTCCATGTCCCGAAATCACTCTCACATCGCCATCAAGGGTAAGAAGCTTTGTCTTTATACTTCCAATGATCTGGTTTGAATCCGAGGTGCCTTGGAGCGAGGGAATCCCTGCCCAATTTGTCCTTCCAACTGAGCCCTGGAACAATGTATCCCCTGGGCAGACGAGCTTGTGCTGTTCGAAGTAGTACGACATAGAGCCAGGTGTGTGACCGGGGCAATGCAAGCACTTTACAGTCAGGTCCGGAGCCCATTGCACCACATCCCCGTCGGCCAAGAAGTCGTCTGGTGGCAAGAGCGGCTCTAAAGGTGGTGGCACACGGAAGTCACGGCACTGCTCCTGCAAAAGGATCGAGCTCATAAGCAACGGATAAGCCAATTACTTTGTGGTGCCAGCTGGTTTGGTATGACGTGATGGTTTGCTTAGCGGCTTAATCCGCCGAGGCCGGAGGCCCCAGGCGTTTTGATCCGTGGGTTCGGGGAGTTTGGGTGGTTGT